TCTATATAGAAATATATCACTGATGTCAGCTAGGACTGTATACCTTGTACATGTACTTGTAGTAAATAAAGATTATTATTATTATTATTATTATTATTATTATTATTATTAATATTAATATTATTATTATTATTATTATTATTATTATTATTATTATTATCATCTACACTGATGCTTGTATTACCACACTCACTGTGGAGACTTCTGTTAGTAACACACAGAGAGATAAAAAAAATGGAAGAAAGGAATGATGCTGGGAGTTTTGTATTTAGACAATACTCTGCTAAATAACCGAAAATAAATCGCAGTTTAGAGAGGAGACTTTAGATGAGGTCCCGGTGCATCCCGGGTCGTCACCAAGAGCTCCCGGTGCATCCCGGGTCGTCACCAAGAGCTCCCGGTGCATCCCGGGTTGTCACCAAGAGGTCCCGGTGCATCCCGGGTCGTCACCAAGAGCTCCCGGTGCATCCCGGGTCGTCACCAAGAGGTCCCGGTGCATCCGGGGTCGTCACCAAGAGGTCCCGGTGCATCCGGGGTCGTCACCAAGAGGTTCCGGTGCATCCCGGGTCGTCACCAAGAGGTTCCGGTGCATCCCGGGTCGTCACCAAGAGGTTCCGGTGCATCCCGGGTCGTCACCAAGAGCTCCCGGTGCATCCCGGGTCGTCACCAAGAGGTCCCGGTGCATCCGGGGTCGTCACCAAGAGCTCCCGGTGCATCCCGGGTCGTCACCAAGAGGTTCCTGTGCATCCCGGGTCGTCACCAAGAGGTTCCGGTGCATCCCGGGTCGTCACCAAGAGGTTCCGGTGCATCCCGGGTCGTCACCAAGAGGTCCCGGTGCATCCCGGGTCGTCACCAAGAGGTTCCGGTGCATCCCGGGTCGTCACCAAGAGGTTCCGGTGCATCCCGGGTCGTCACCAAGAGGTTCCGGTGCATCCCGGGTCGTCACCAAGAGGTTCCGGTGCATCCCGGGTCGTCACCAAGAGGTTCCGGTGCATCCCGGGTCGTCACCAAGAGGTTCCGGTGCATCCCGGTCGTCACCAAGAGGTTCCGGTGCATCCCGGGTCGTCACCAAGAGGTTCCCGGGGCATCCCGGTCGTCACCAAGAGCTCCCGGTGCATCCCGGGTCGTCACCAAGAGCTCCCGGTGCATCCCGGGTCGTCACCAAGAGGTCCCGGTGCATCCCGGGTCGTCACCAAGAGGTTCCGGTGCATCCCGGGTCGTCACCAAGAGGTCCCGGTGCATCCCGGGTGGTCACCAAGAGGTTCCGGTGCATCCCGGGTCGTCACCAAGAGGTTCCGGTGCATCCGGGGTCGTCACCAAGAGGTTTCCGGTGCATCCGGGTCGTCACCAAGAGGTTCCGGTGCATCCGGGGTCGTCACCAAGAGGTTCCGGTGCATCCCGGGTCGTCACCAAGAGGTTCCGGTGCATCCCGGGTCGTCACCAAGAGGTTTCCGGTGCATCCGGGGTCGTCACCAAGAGGTTCCGGTGCATCCCGGGTCGTCACCAAGAGGTTCCGGTGCATCCCGGGTCGTCACCAAGAGGTTCCGGTGCATCCCGGGTCGTCACCAAGAGGTTCCGGTGCATCCCGGGTCGTCACCAAGAGGTTCCGGTGCATCCGGGGTCGTCACCAAGAGGTTCCGGTGCATCCCGGGTCGTCACCAAGAGGTTCCGGTGCATCCGGGGTCGTCACCAAGAGGTTCCGGTGCATCCCGGGTAGTCACCAAGAGGTCCCGGTGCATCCCGGGTCGTCACCAAGAGGTCCCGGTGCATCCCGGGTCGTCACCAAGAGGTTCCGGTGCATCCCGGGTCGTCACCAAGAGGTTCCGGTGCATCCCGGGTCGTCACCAAGAGGTTCCGGTGCATCCCGGGTCGTCACCAAGAGGTCCCGGTGCATCCCGGGTCGTCACCAAGAGGTCCCGGTGCATCCCGGGTCGTCACCAAGAGGTTCCGGTGCATCCCGGGTCGTCACCAAGAGCTCCCGGTGCATCCCGGGTCGTCACCAAGAGGTTCCGGTGCATCCCGGGTCGTCACCAAGAGGTCCCGGTGCATCCCGGGTCGTCACCAAGAGGTCCCGGTGCATCCCGGGTCGTCACCAAGAGGTCCCGGTGCATCCCGGGTCGTCACCAAGTCCACCACTTACGTCAACGTCGTCTCAAGTTCTCTCTTGAAATTATGGTCAACTTGTGTATTTTTTCAACAGCATTTTTTTATAAGTTAAATACCTGAAAAACGGAATTATTTTTTAAAGGTTCTTGAGAAGGTGTTAAAAATAGTTGCTGAATATGGAATTGTTTGTACCTGGGAGATGAGGCTGTTTACCTGGGAGGTGGAACTGTATACCTGGGACATGGAACTGTGTACCTGGGAGATGGAACTGTGTACCTGGGAGATAGAACTATATACCTGGGAGATGGAACAGTATATCTAGAAGATGAGACTGTTTACATGGGAGGTGGAACTGTATACCTGGGAGGTAGAACTGTATACCTGGGAGGTAGAACTGTATATCTGGGAGCTGGAACTGTGTACCTGGGAGATGAGATTGTGTACCTGGGAGGTGAAACTATGTACCTAGGAGATGAAACTGTGTACCTGGGAGGTGGAACTGTGTACCTGAGAGATGGAACTGTGTACCTGGGAGATGGAGCTGTGTACCTGGGAGGTGGAACTGTGTACCTGGGAGGTAGAACTGTATACCTGGGAGATGGAACTGTATATCTGGGAGATGGGACTGTTTACCTGGGAGGTGGAATTGTATACCTGGGAGGTGGAACTGCATACCTGGGAGATGGACCTGTGCACCTGGGAGGCAGAACTGTATACCTGGGAGCTGGAACTCTGTACCTGGGAGATGAGATTGTGCACCTGGGAGGTGAAACTGTGTACCTGGGAGGTGAAACTGTACCTGGGAGGTGGAACTGTGTACCTGGGAGATGAAACTGTGTACCTGGGATGTAGAACTGTATACCTGGGAGCTGGAACTGTGTACCTGGGAGATGAGATTGTGCACCTGGGAGGTGAAACTGTGTACCTGGGAGGTGAAACTGTGTACCTGGGAGGTGGAACTGTGTACCTGAGAGATGGAACTGTGTACCTGGGAGATGGAACTGTGTACCTGGGAGGTGGAACTGTGTACCTGGGCGGTGGAACTGTATACCTCTGAGGTGGAACTGTATACCTGGGAGATGGAACTGTGTACCTGGGAGGTAGAACTGTATACCTGGGTATGAAACTGTGTACCTGGGAGATGGAACTGTGTACCTGGGAGATGGAACTGTGTACCTCGCAGGTGGAACTGTGTACCTGAGAGATGGAACTGTGTACCTGGAAGATGGAACTGTGTACCTGGGAGGTGGAACTGTGTACCTGGGAGATGGAACTTTGCACCTGGGAGATGAGACTGTGTACCTGGGAGGTGGAACTGTGTACCTGGGAGATGAGACTGTGTACCTGGGAGGTGGAATTATGTACCTGGGAGATGGAACTGTGTACCTGGGAGATGAGACTGTTTACCTGGGAGGTGGAACTGTATACCTGGGAGGTGGAACTCTGTACCGGAGAGATAGAACTGTGTACCTGGGAAGTGGAACTCTGTACCTGGGAGATGGAACTGTGTACCTGGGAGATGAAACTGTATACCTGGGAGATGAAACTGTTTACCTGGGAGGTGGAACTGTTTACCTGGGAGATGGAACTGTGTACCTGGGAGGTAAAACTGTATACCTGGGAGGTGGAACTCTGTACCTGAGAGATGGAACTGTATACCTGGGAGATGAAACTGTTTACCTGGGAGGTGGAACTGTATACCTGGGAGGTGGAACTGTGTACCTGGGAGGTAGAATTGTATTCTTGGGAGATGGAACTGTATATCTGGGAGGTAGAAATGTATACCTGGGAGATGGAACTGTGTACCTGGGAGATGGAACTGTATACCTGGGAGATGAAACTGTTTACCTGGGAGGTGGAACTGTATACCTGGGAGGTGGAACTGTGTACCTGGGAGGTAGAACTGTTTGCCTGGGAGGTGGAACTGTGTACCTGGGAGGTAAAACTGTATACCTGGGGGATGAAACTGTGTACCTAAGAGATGGAACTGTGTACCTGGGAGATGAGCCTGTGTACCTCGCAGGTGGAACTGTGTACCTGGGAGATGAAACTGTGTACCTGGGAGATGGAACTGTGTACCTGAGAGGTGGAACTGTGCACCTGGGAGATGGAACTTTGCACCTGGGAGATGAGACTGTGTACCTGGGAGGTGGAACTGTGTGCCTGGGAGATGGAACTGTGTACCTGGGAGATGAGACTGTGTACCTGGGAGGTGGAACTATGTACCTGGGAGATGGAACTGTGTACCTGGGAGATGAGACTGTTTACCTGGGTGGTGGAACTCTGTACCTGAGAGATGGAACTGTGTACCTGGGAGGTAGAACTGTATACTTGGGAGATGGAACTGTATATCTGGGAGGTAGAAATGTATACCTGGGAGATGGAACTGTGTACCTGGGAGATGGAACTGTATACCTGGGAGATGAGACTGTTTACCTGGGAGGTGGGACTGTGTACCTGGGAGGTGGAACTGTGTACCTGGGAGATGGAACTTTGCACCTGGGAGATGAGACTGTGTACCTGGGAGGTGGAACTGTGTATCTGAGAGATCGAACTGTGTACCTGGGAGATGGAACTGTGTACCTGGGAGGTGGAACTGTGTACCTGGGAGATGGAACTTTGCACCTGGGAGATGAGACTGTGTACCTGGGAGGTGGAACTGTGTACCTGGGAGATGGAACTGTGTACCTGGGAGGTGAGGCTGTGTACCTGGGAGGTGGAACTGTGTACCTGGGAGATGGAACTGTGTACCTGGGAGATGAGACTGTTTACCTGGGAGGTGGAACTGTATACCTGGGAGGTGGAACTCTGTACCTGAGAGATGGAACTGTGTACCTGGGAGGTGGAACTGTGTACCTGGGAGATGGAACTGTGTACCTGGGAGATTAGACTGTTTACCTGGGAGGTGGAACTGTATACCTGGGAGGTGGAACTCTGTACCTGAGAGATGGAACTGTGTACCTCGGAGATGAAAATGTGTACCTGGGAGGTGGAACTGTGTATCTGGGAGATGGAACTTTGTGCCTGGGAGATGAAACTGTGTACCTGGGAGATGGAACTGTGTACCTCGGTTATGAGACTGTGTACCTGGGAGGTGGAACTGTGTACCTGGGAGATGGAACTGTGTACCTGCGAGACGGAACTGTGTACCTGGGAGGTGGAAATGTGTGCCTGGGAGATGAGACTGTATACCTGAGAGGTTGAACTGTATACCTGGGAGGTGGAACTGTATACCTGGAAGATGGGATTGTATACCTGGGAGGCGGGACTTGCAGAAGAGAGCACCACAGGTTTCACCGCTGCTTGAACATCGTCATCTTCTCCAGTGAACAACAAGCTTCCTAATGGATGTACTCAGTTAGAATGTATAGATGAAAACAAACATAATAGAATCACTAAACATTAGGAAAATAGATTAGAAAAGTGCAAAACAATAAACAGCAATTTGCATTTTACATTAATCTACGATGGCACACTTAACAATAGAACGGAATTTTGAAAACATCTCTACTGTGAAGAACACACGAGGTATTACAAGAGTATACAGTGGTAAACGAGGTGCTCACTGATGTTGCGTCCTCTAACGAAGGCCTCGTGGGAGTTCCTGAGGGCGTCACGGGTACTGAAGATTGAGTCCTGATGCCGGCCAGGTGTCCAGCCTCCTGTTAGGGTTGTAGTGTCCCTCGTTACGGGTCGCACCTTATCTGTATCTTCCCTCGTCTCTCTTTCTCTTGTTTTCTCTTGTGTGGAGACGAGTAGACCACTACTAGACTGTGCGTGGCATGGACCGTCGGTGGATTCGTCTGCAGTCAACTGAGGCATTTTCTTGTTACAAGATGCTGGGAGCTGAGAATCATGAGAGGAAAATATTGCCTGCTGAGATGTTGTGTTCAGATCAAATGTTGCAGCTTCAGAGTCGTGCGAAGAACTAGTTGAACTGTTCGTGTTGTGGGTTTGACCAGAAAACTGCACTCCCTCTAAGCTGTGACTTGTGCTGTGGGTATAATTAGTAGACTTCACTACTTCGAAACTCTCAGTTGTTAAAGAGTCTGGCAGGGAAGCTTGGCTGAGGCTGGAACATGAAGAATTTGTCTCTGAATCCTCAAGTTTTGGCTTTGGTTTAAACACTTCACAGTCGACAGTTTGACTAAAAGCCGGACCTTTCACTGATGGTGGGTTATATTTCAGAAGTTCTTGAAGTTCGTTCCTGTCAAACACAGGGGAAACAGAATTCACACTCTCCTCTTCAAAAATGCTTTCATGACTGTCTTCATCAGTCAGGCTTGACTCTTCCTCAACCAAACTGGTTTCTTCTGGAGTTTCTATGATAAGCTCATCTGCACTCTCTTCCTCTTCGGACGTGTTACTGGAGCTCTCCAGCTCCTCTTGCCAGTCACCGGCCTCCATGATCCTTCTAGCATCCTCCACCCACCTCTCGCCGAACACAGGAACTCTCACAGGATCTGCTTCATTATTATTATCAATACCATTCATGTTCCTCAACATGCCATTGTTTACTATTTCTTCCACGTCATCGTCAGCCTCTGGCTCGCTGTTGTCTGGTGTTCCCTGTGAGAATCTCTCCATTTCTAGGTTGTGACGCTCATATAGATCCTGCAAATTGTTTATTTCGAATTCCATATTTTCCAGAATCTCCTCAATGTCTGATTCGTTCTGAGGATGTGAGTTGTGGTCAGAGACGAGCTGGCGCAGGTAGGACTGCCCTTCGGAATTGGAATCCACCTCGTACTGTGCTGGATAGTTTTCAACTTCGTCAGTGTCCCAAATAACGCCAAGTAGCTCCTCGCTGTCAATTCTTGGAATAGTATTGATCTGCTCATCATTCGACGCTGAAGTGCAGTTCTTAAGAAAATTGTGACAGCTTTTAAATAATAGTTGGTCGTGTTCTCTTGTATGAGGGCAGTCTGAGGAACAGTTAGTGCAGTTTTCTCCACCTGAATCCTCAGACTTCGATATCTGAGAAGAGTTCTCGTGATGGAAGTCATATTGCATATCTCGTGTGTTGGAAATTTTTGGTAGTCCAGAATCGCTCAGTGATGTAGGTTTTCCTAAGTCTTCAAAATCAATCAATTCTTTTAAGGCATCTGTAGCTCCCATGGGATCATGTGTCCGGTCAATATTCTCTAGGTCTTTGACATCTTCGGAATTAGCCTGTGATACGACATCCTGAGTGGAATGTTTGTTTTCCTTAATTTGAAGGTGCACAGGACTACCAGCTTCATCGAGGTCTGAGGAATTTTCTGTTAAGCCGTCCAGTTTTTCCGAGTCCTCTGATCCATCAGACAAGTTCTCGAGAAGTTTACTGAAGGCTTCGTCTTTTATGACAACCTCTTCACTGCTTTCGTTCTTCTGTCTCTGGTAGATACTTGTATCACTCCCACTAACATCGTTCTCTATGTGGCCTGAGTGATCCTCTTCATCCGTCACTTGATCCACAGCATCTTTCCTCATCTTTCGGACTCTACTCTGGGCCCACGCTTTAGCTGCAGGAGTAAGAGCATAGAGTTTTTCTGTGCCGTTGTCCTCAACGTAGATACCCATATCAGAGTGTGAGGTGGCTGCATCCCTTCCTTTGGCTGCTCTCTCAGCCAGCACACGTTCGCGAAGTCTCAATACATCTGCAACAGGAGTGAGTTATACCGTGTGTATGATGTCCTCTGAGATACTAAAGTAACCAAAAACGATGCAAATTAGGATTGATTATTTATTACTAAGGAGAAATAATATCCAATTTTAAGAACATTGAGATAATGGTTAGCAAGAAAAATTTTGTGATTATTTCAGGTATGGTGATAATTTCAGGTATTTTAAAGAGACTGGGGATCTTAGATAAGACAGAGAGAGGGGGGGAGAGAGCAGTATTCATTTTTTCCCCACTCACCGTTTACGCAGTCACGTTGGCGCTGGAAGTCGCGTTCTGCCCACTCCCTCCTGGTCTTCCTCTCCTCTTCCACACCACCCACATTCCTGAGGGCGGGAGACAGCTGTCTTACCTCACAACGTAGCTGTTTTACGTCACGATACTCATATTATCTCACAACACAATTGTATTACCTCACGTCATATAACTTCACAATACAGTAAAATTACCTCACAACACAGTCACATTACCTCACAACACAGTTGTATTTCCTCATAACACAGTCATATTTCCTCACAACACAGTCATATTACCTCAAAACACAGATGTATTACCTCAAAACACAGATGTATTACCTCACAAAGTCACTGTGTGACTTTGTAAATGGTCTAAGTCGGACCGAAACGTTGTCGTAAGCTCCTCTCTCCTAAGTGCGGGTAATTTGTATATTGTTTCAGTGTATTATTCATGTCAACGCAAGGTAGTATTCTGGGTCCCTTATTATATTCCTATGCTATGTTAACGACATACTATCAATGTCAAGTGCAAACTCCTACTGTATGTAGATGACAGTGCTCTGTTAGTGTCAGATAAAGACCCACAAGATATAGCTAATGTATTAATTAACACTGGAACTGGAGTCTTGCAGCAAATGGTTAGTAGACAACAAATTATCATTACACCTCGGGAAAACTGAAGCCATTCTCTTTGGCACGAAACATAAACTGAGAAGGGTAAATAATTTTATTGTCCACTGTAATGGGGAGCCCATCACTTCAGTTTCCTCAGTAAGATATCTGGGAATCCCCTTTGACCCATGCATGTTAGGAGAATTGATAGGGACCAGTGCAGTATGTCAGTGGAACGCCTTCCAACTGAACAAAAGAAACTAATGGAAAAATAAATAAATAAAGAAATAACTTAGGAAAAATGAGAATAATGATTTTTGAGAATTTTACTTAAAATTTAAATATAATAAAAAAAAATGGCCTTCAGTTCTTGTAGTTGGGCAGGAGTAGGTATGGCCCTGGATAGTTCCTATGATGTTATTTATGTAGGTTATCCTGGGCAGATGGTAATAATCCGATGTTCTGGAATCTCCTACCACTTGGATGGAGCACCACAAGTAGAATAGGTAAGGGCCGGTAATAGTAGAATAATGTTAATAAGTATTATTAACATATCTTGCTCCTTTATCTGGCGTCTATCCTGGAAGGCCACGCCAGGAACAGAGCTGGTAAATAAGAGAAAATAAACTGGTTACCATAGTTATGATAATATAACATTTAAGAATTGAAAAGAATGATAAATGCCAAAATCATTACTGGTAACCAGCAAACAAAATAAAGAAACAAACAGTGATACTCCTGGTATATCACCCTACCTGATTAGGAGAAGAGTGGAGGTGAAGTGACTCTCCAAACTTCAACCCACACCAGGTAAGGTCAATATTACCAGGAGTAGAAACTAACAAATCGGACACCAGGAACTAGTTTCGCCCAGCCCGCCAGAGAGGAGGGGGGGGTGCACGCGACGTAACTAATGGTTCCTGGTTGCCCGAACAACCTTAACCCCACTTACACCTACTTTTCCCTCACAATACCCCCTTCCAAAACTTATGGACGGAGTCAATAAGTCAACGAACAGAGGGAAAAGAACTAACTACAACCTCGGCTCAGCCAATCTGAAAAGTGGTTTTCAGAGCCAGAAACATAAACGACTTTAAACTTATAGGGCTGAATAGCCAGAGCCCATCTCAGAGTCTGCTATTTGACCCTTTAAAGTTTTTCCAGTACATCAGTGGCTTGTGATCTGTTTCAAGCACAAAGGGTTTACCGTATAGGTAGTATTTAAATCTACTTATACCCATACTAAAGCATAACATTCTTTCTCCACAGTGAATATCTTTCTTCTCTGGGCAGAAGCTCTTACTGGCGAAAGATACTGGAGAAGGGTGTCTCCTCATAATATTGAAGTAGTACAGCCCCGAGTCCAGAATGGGAGGCATCTGTTCGGAGACAAAATATTTTATTAATATCTGGTAATTTTAGGACAGGGGGGTTTGAAAATATCCTCTTAATTTCTTCGAAGCTTTGGAGGGGCTTCCTCAGAACAACTAGAGGTTCCTTGACACCCTTTTTCAATAGTCTGTAAGAACTGAAGTTAAGCTACTTAGATTTGGTACGAAATTTTCTATAGATGTTTACAGATCCAAGGAAACTTCTTAATAACTTTTTGGTAGCTGGGAACGTACTTTCTAAACAGCTTTGGTCTTATTAGGAAGTGGTGAAAAGTTGTTATCAGAGATAATGAACCCAAGGTATTGTACCTTATGATAGCCAAGAAAGCACTTTTGTGGTTTAACTGTAAGGCCATGAGTGTCTTAGTCTTTTCAAAACAAGCGCTAGTGTATTTAGATGGTCTTCCCAGACATTTGTCATGATATAAATATCAAAATACACTGATACATTCTTTAGATCAGAAAGAACTATTCTCATAAGCCTAATATACGTGGCACATGCGGTAACCAAGCCGAAAGGCATTGTGCGGTATTGCATTAGACCTCTATGAGTAGGGAAAGCATGTGTATGGTTTCGAGTCTGGGTGTAATGGCACTTGAATGGTATGCTTGTGAGATGTCTAATTCCGAGAAGAATTGCAGTCATGGAATTTATACAAGTCATGATCAATTACTGGCATGGGTTCTGCATCCCATTTAGTTATAGTATTCAAATAACGAAAATCTTGTGCCAGTCGGTAAGAATTATCGGGTTTCTTAACCATAACAACTGGTGAACAGAAAGCTGATTTCGAAGGTTCTATGATGTTTAAGTTAAATAGTTTGTCCACCTCATTATCAAAAGTTTTCCGTAAGTGAACGGGAACAGGGTAGATTTTCCGCCTTACTGGTTCATGATCCGACAATTCAATCTTGTGTACCATAGTGGTGGTAAGTCCTGGTACCTCTGTGAATACGTCAGAAAATGAATTTACCAAGGCACTTACTTGAGACTTTTATTTGACAAGTCGTTGTTAATGTTGACATTTGACTTCTTTGGTGAGGGATCATGCGTTAAGATATCCAGTAGTTCCTTCGATTCTGTAAAAGACTCTTCATCTATAATACAAACTCTACATTCGTACGAATCACCACTTGTATCAAGCTGAAAGAAGAAGTATCTTCGTCAAAGGCATTTACGCAAAGATTAACTTCTCTTCTATGGTACCGTTTCAAATATTGACGTGATACATTCTCTCTCTAACCCTTGACATCCAAGATATAATCTACCTTATTGCAGACCTTCACTACTTTATACGGTCCGCGCCAGGTAATTAGCAATTTGTTGGATTTGTCAGGTAGGAGAACTAAAACTTCATCACCAACATTAAACGTACGCTTGGAGCTTTTATGGTCAAAATAGGTCTTGTACGTTTCCATAGACATCTCTAGGTTTTTACCGACCAAATCGGCGGTTTCTTCCAACCTTTCCCTTAGATCTAAAAGAAACTGATAGCTGTTTTGAACCTCAGGTTTGATATCTTTGGACCAAAGTTCATTCAAAATAGATAGTGGACCACGAGCTTGTCTCCCATAAAGCAATTCGAAAGGGGAATAACCAAGGGAATCACTTGGAATCTCGCGCATTGCGAAAAGAGCACATGGTAAAAATCTATGCCAGTCCGTTGGTTTAAGAATACATAGTTTTTTTAGTATTGACTTTAGGATGGCATGTTGTCGCTCCACTCTTCCGTTACACATCGGATGGTAAGGTGTAGTGAAAAGAGGTTTAACACCCACAAGTTGATAAACGTGTTCCATTAATTCTGAAGTGAATTGTGCCCCTTTGTCAGACAGAATTTCACGAGGTATACCTACACGTGAAAAAATAGAAAATAAGGCTTCTGCGACTTCTATGGACGTAATGGATTTTAAGGGTACCGCCTCTGGGAAGCTGGACGCGTAGTCAATCATAGTTAAAATATATTTATGACCTGATGAGCGAGGTGTGATAGGACCAACTATATCTACTGCAACCCTTGCAAAAGGGACTGAGAAAATTGGCATCTTTACCATAGGAACTCTCCTAGTTCTACCCTTCTGCGTGGAAAGTTGACATACGTGACATGATCTGCAGTACTTATAGATGTCAGCGGACATGCTAGGCCAGAAATATAGGTCCTTGATTTTTATTATAGGTTCTTCCTATGTGAAAAATGGCCAGAGACTGGCAAGTCATGAGAAATCTTTAAAATGGTTTCACGGCAATCCTGCGGAATGACTAACAGGCTTCGACCAACGTCATTGGGTTTGTCCGCAGACACTATAGTCTTGTACAAAAGATCGTGTTTGAACTCAAACTTGTAAGAAAATTTCTTTCTCTGGGTCACCTTGCCATTTAAAGCTAACTTCCGAGATTCCTCTAAGGAAGGACAAGTCTTTTGAAGACCCTCCAAATCTATATGAGACAGCTCGATTGGCTTTCCTTTGGAAAGAACTAATGGGTGGATAGGTTTTACCTTAGACTGAGCTCTGGTAACGACGTTAATCGAGTCTAGTTGTTGTATAGATTGTGCCACACAGTTTTCCACTGGCGTCTGCGTTGTCCAGTTCAAGTGACTGACTTACTAAAGGTGTTACCGGAGTTTTGTAACCATCAGCTCTCTGATTTAGGTTATCCAACTGAATCTCATCTGGAACTATCTGTGAAGAAACAGATATATTAGGTTCCAACCCTTCCTTGGAAACTCCAAATTCCAAACAGTCCTTCTCAGATGGGAAAGTAGCCCCTTGTATGTTCCCAACCAAAACAGAACATGAGGTTATCGGGGCAACTACGGCATCTACCCATCCTGAGAACCATTTGCACCTAACGAAACATCTGACTGTTGGAAAAGAATCGCTTCTTCCTAAATAGTCAGTTAATTTAGTGGACTTATAACGTGAAGAATCTAGGTTAGGGAAAAGCTTACTCGAGATAACAATACAGGAACATCCAGTGTCTCTAAGAATGGTTGACACATTCATACCATTGACTGTACCTTCACTAAAAGGTGCATTTATGTTTGATTCAGTGAAACATTTACCGACATTTTCA